CTGTAGAGCTGCAGCGATTAGTCGATCGGTTGTTAACTATTAAATAAATCGCCAACCATCTGTGAACGTGAACACAGGCTGCGTGTGTCTGTGCTATTTGTTTAACATATATCCTCTATGACGAGGCTTTAGACGTTGGAATAACGTGTGACATATTTGGTTACTCTGTGAGCTTCACTACAGACATGTGTTTTTATGCTCAGTGGTCAATGTTTGCCGATAATATCTTCCCTCAGGAGAAAGATGCTTAGTTAGATCAGCTTACATCTGTAGCCTGGCTAACAATGTATGAGAGACTGCTTTCTGAGTAAGAGGATTTTGGATGAATCTGCACCTTGGTATCAATCCAGAGTATATTTTATTATGTTAACAACTAAATGTTAAGTGTCCACATCAATGTGCATTTTGAACTTAAAGTCCCCCTCCACTCAGAAATATGTTTTTCTTCTTGTTCTTACTGTTTGATCTTCACTGAGCAGAATGATGTGCAGAGTTTGACACTAGAATGTAGATTTTACTTTCATCTGCTAAAAGTGGAAAGTTTCTCTGTGCTCATGGAAAATCTAATCTTTAAAGGGCAAGGCCTATGAACATGATTGAAAGTCAAGGTTGCTCCAGATTACAACTTATAGTGGTGTAGAAACTTGAAGCCACCAGTGCACAGACACTGAGAATGGACTTTACAGTGAAATGGGAGACATCTTAACATATGCATATTCATATTCAGACACACATTATAGTTCAAAGCAGACTATTTGTATATATGCCTTAATGCCTGGTAAAATATTTCATGCTTCAGTTGCTTTATCTACAATTTGTCTTCAACACAGGTTTCAAAAATAAGAACAAAGCAAGTGGGTGGGTGAAGTAGTTAACATGGTTTAGCCCACTTAAACCTTGTGTAGAGGAGACTTGAAAAATACCACACTTCTTCTACACACATGTACATATATAAATAAGCTGAAATGTAAACATGACCTTGAATGTCACCATATTCCAAGCATCTCTGAAGTGTCCCAGTTTATCGGTCCTTGTTAACCTTGACAAATAAAATGCTAAAGGAGCAATTTAACAGTTTGACTGTGTTACAGAATAGAAGGAAAAGCATTCACAAAGCATCTGCCACCATGTTGGTCAGCCACACACTCACAGAAGACGAGACACAATCCCATATTTCTGGCTAACTCATGCAGTTACGTAACGAATGCTGGCAACAGCAGCAGGATGCATCAACACAATTACAATCTGTAGCCACCAGAATATTTAATGAAGCTGTTGTTAGGAACTGAACGTCTATCAGTTTCAACTATAATCCCAACCTCATGCTGACTTGTGGAAGGCAACCACTGAGCCACAACAAAGCTCCTCCTGCCACCTCCTGGTAGACAAAAGGTAGGACACTTACACTTCAGAGAGCAGCTTCCTCTTCTTCAGCTCATTCTTCTCCTTCTCTTCCAGCTGAGCTGTGTTAGCTTTCTTTACCAGAAGCAGCTTCTCTCTGACCTGGTCGTCTATGCTCTCCACCTGGGGAGCAACACATAAACCACGCAAACACATTCGAATCAGATTGGGGACTACCAAACACACAAGGCTGAGATAACAGTTTGAGTTGATGTACAACTTACGGTCTTGAATATCCTCGGGCCGCCCTCGTGTGATTTGTCCACTCTGATCCATTTGTTGGACATGGCCTTGCTGAAGCCGATCTTTCCAAAGGACAGTTTCTGCCCGGGGACAAACAACAGTGTGACTGAGTATACAATGCAGAATTATAGAACAGTATGTGTTTATGTAAGAGTAATTAATCAATTCATACATAAAAATATAATGTGTATGAATGGTGTACAGTTCCTCCACACTTTACTGCCATCATTACTTCGTACTGAATGATCTCCACATCTTTTATTATAGTTTTGCTTTTTTGTGGACAAAGAAAGACGTTTTACTGGCTAAGAGGTGGGAGCCTGTTTTATTTTGTATATTTGGTGTGCAGATTTAAAAAACAACTAATTTCTAACTTGTATTTAACAGTAAGAAATATATAAGATCATTTTGTTTGAAAAATGGAGAATGGAGAGAGGACCTGCAATGAAATCTCTATTATATTTGTAAGAATGGGATCATTTGTAGTTTGAAAGTTCATTGAGTAGAGGAACATACATACAGGCCGTGTGGATGTTGCATTCTGATTGTTACCCAAGAACCAAAACATTGCTGCTCTGAATTTTAATAGAAACTGGTACAACCAGCCACATCCATCACACGCCAAATACAACAGATTCAATCTTATTCTTAGTTTTTTTATTGTTTCTAAATTATTTGAAATGTTTTCAACTTTAAAAAAATGGTTTTACTATACGTTTAGACAATTTGTGTGGCATCCTTCCACCACTAAAGACAGTAGATCCCAGAGGGCAATGTGGATATCAATTTAGGACTGCAACTAATGATTATTTTCAATATTGATTAATCTACTAATCATTTTTTCAATTAATTGTTTTGTCTATAAAAAGCCAGAAAATAGTGAAAGATTCCCGTCTTGTTTGGTCTGATTAACAAACATCCAAAGATATTCAGTTTACTATTATGTATGATAAAGAAAAGCATCAAATCCTCACATTTAAGAAGCTTACTTTAAAAATATTTAACAATTATTGAGTTATTATCCAAACAGTTGCAGAGTAATCAATTAACTTTAGATGTTGCAGATCAATTATTCCCTTTTGAGAAGCAAGTTTAGGAAACCTCACTGACGGACAGGATTCAGAAGAGCTGAACTTTTACTATCTAGTCCACTGATTCTCAACCTGTCAGGTGTCAAGGACCCTCAAATTGATCAATATCAGACTGTGGACACATAATTGATCCCCATCAGATAAGACTGAGTAATTCCATAACTGTCTATACTGTAGATTGGCAGTGAAAAGTGTGAAACATTAACAAAACAGTCATTCTTAAACACCCTCTCATTGGGCTAATTTCTAGTCAATGACATAATTAGTCAAACTGAAATATATATATATATATATAAATAACCCCCTCAGGGACCCCAGGTTGAGAGCCACTGATGTAGTTTCAGTCACAGACCTTTATGCTGTCAGTCTGTCTCAGGCTCCACACACAGGACACCTGTTACACACTGATAATATGTCGCACTCACCATGAGCTCACTCTGTGCCAGACCCTCCAGCGGGATGGAGCTGAACACCCGGGCTTCATGGCTGCCCTGCTCGGCTATCTCCGTGCCCTCCTCGGTCAGCTCCCAGTGTTTGGAGGAGCGCAGCTCGGCAGAGATTATCTGGACAGCGGGGAACAAACCACGGAGTGAATATCATCCTAACTGGCTCAATGGACGCTGTTATTTATGTATGTCACACAATGCTGAGCTCACTACACACGACTGACAGTTCACGTTATTGCATCAGTCACACTACAATGACTACATGAACATTGTTGACGGTGAGTGTTTGGACTTCCGCCGCCCGGGAAACTCACGTCGCCGAGAGCCTGGAGACTCTTCACGGCCCCGACGATGACCTGGTGGTCCACCCCGAGGCTGGCCGCCACCTCCAGGCTGTCCACACCGTCGTCCACCTTTTCAATCAGCCGCAGGAGCGTCTCCACGACACCGGTGTCCGCCATGCTGGAGACCCGTGAAGCCCGAAAGAGGCCGGATGTGACGTCGGGTTCCGAAAGGCCTAAAGTATTAGAGTAGAGGGGCAACAACAATGAGGTAATGGATTACCGTAAATACTGTGGTAGGTTGGTTTTTGTACTGTCCTTTTAGTCTTGGTTTTACGAATTTTGAGTTTTATTTATTTATTTATTTTTTTCCTTTAAACTCAACTTAAATAAAATGTTATATTTTGGAAACATGCAGTGATGTTAGACATATTCAGATCATTTACTTGAGTAAAATAGTAAAACCACAAGGTAGAAATACCATAAAATAAAAGTTAAACAAAGCATTAACATCATACTTAAGGAACAAAGGTAAAAGTACTCATTATACAGTCAATTTCAGAAAATATATATTATCAGAATCAGGCATACTTTAATAGTCCCGTGGGGAAATTACTTATGATTATTGATGATCAATAATGTTGCTGCTGGTAAAAGTAGAGCTAATTGCATTGGAATTTCCCCATTGTGGGACAAATAAAGAAATATCTATCTATCTAATTTTAACTATATGTGTGTGTATTTAGATTTCAGATAAATGTAGTGGAGTCAAAAGTATAATATATTGCACCCAATTGCAGTGGAGTAGAAGTTAAGAACAGGTACCTGAAGAGTTATTACAGGTTTAAAAAATTGTTAGTTTTAGTTTTATTATAGTGTGGCAGGTATTTGTCAGGAGCAAGTTCAGGATCGATATTACAATACAAACACAATGATCCACAGTCATGTAGACAGTCCTAGTCTCAATAAACAATAAACAATACCTCCTCGTGCTTGTTGTGTTGACACATTTGATCAAACTGACAAAGCCTAAAGCTAAAAAAAAATGCCTGCATATTTTTATTTCATTTTAATTAGTTTTGTAAGCACTCAATGTCACTCCAGATAGTTAAAAAAAAATTTTCCAAGGTCTAGGTTTTATTTCAAATAAGTAAAAATGTTTTTTTTGTTTAGTTAACTCCTACCTCAAAAGTGTACCTAAGTACAGCACCTGAGTTCAAGTACTTGGTTACATTCCACCAGTGGATATGTGTACTTTTTGTATTGTTGAATAGAATAAAAATGGGATTTTTCAGCAGTGTATTTCTAATCTTGGTACAAAAGCCAAATTAAATGGTATTCACAAAGGAGGTCAAACTGTACATTGAATTTATTACACATATGTATGAATCCAAATGCTCTGAAAAATGTTGACTTATTAATAAAACAAGCATACTGTCACACTGTATATTTAGTTACCCCATTACCCATCTTATATTAATCATATCAATAGTACAAATATTTGATATATTAAGTCACAACTGTAATAAAGACATCTATTTAAAATAAAACTCATTTATTAATAGAAACACAGTTTGTTATACATTAACAGGAACAAATCCCACCCAATCAAAAAGCTACATTGAGCAGAAATGTGGATATAACATCAGAACGTAAAATGTGTTTCCAGTAATCTCCAAAACCATTTATTAAAATAACTATTACACTATTACAAAATAAGCTGAAAATTACACGCAATGCAAAAAAGAACAAGCTATTCTGGTCTATTGAATTGTTACAAAAAATACAACAACCTTTGTAGTTTAAAACTACAAGATTTTACTAGTTTCACATGAGAAAGAAATGCGTTCACCACACAACTCTTTATAAGAAAAGGAAACCAAATCAGAGCTAGTGAGTGAGGAATCTGTAGCATCAGCCTTCGTATTTAGTGATGAGGATGAGGACTGGTAGCAAAGATTAAAAACAAAAATAAGAATAACTGAAAAACACAAGACTAAGCACTGACCAGACCACTGAAACAGACCACTAAATTCAGCCAACACTCAGCTCTGACACTTACAAAGTCCAGACATCTCAATTTGTGCCCACATGTGCCACATAGAAACCCAAAAAGCACATAAGAAGCAAACATGGAAAAGGCAGAGAGCACTGGCAAGCCGTCAATCACTTTCTTTGGAGAAGGCTTGAGACACTGATGCAGGATGCTTGGTGCCAATGATTCACAGACGGTGTGATACAGTCTATCTGTACTGGTAATTCATGCTGCTGTCTCCCCTGCCGTAGCCCACTGGGTTGTGGTACTGAGAGTGGTTGGTGCCGAAGCCCTGGTTATTGCCGCCTCCGCCGCCTCCTCCTCCTCCTCCCCCACCTCCTCCTCCTCCTCCCTGTGAGTTGTAGTTGGACTGGTTGTTGAAACCTACAAGAGTGACAGTGAGTGAGAAACATTGCCAAAAAGGAAAAAAAAAAAAAAAAGTATAAATCTTAGAAAGCTGCAATACATTTTTCGGGCCACATGGGGGCAGCAGAAACAATATATAAGGAATAATGTATAATTTCAAGTCAGTATGTTATTAATATTTGTTTTAACAAGATACGTTAATTTTGTGTACTAAATTGTGATACAGCAAGCAAAAGTGACACATTATAAAAAGCAAAGTGGAGATGAAATCATTTTGTAATTTGAAAAAGGAAAAAAATTTCTCAGGACACAAACTGAATGACATTTGTTGTCATGGTAGCAGCAATATCCTGGCATACTTGGTATGCGTGATGTAAAATCTAATTCTGAATCAAAGTGCTTTCAGAATTAACATTTCATCAACTCACCTTCATAACTGTAGTCTTGGCTACCTCCAGCACCCCCCGTCACCTGGCTCGGGTAGGCAGTGCTGTATGAGTATCCACCTGTCCCCCCCTGGTTCTGGTTGAAACTCTTCTTTCCCTGCCCATAGCCCTGGCCATACTGGCTATAAGAGCCCTGCCCTGGGGGGCTGTTGGACTGGTACCCGCCTGCAGATCCAGTGTTAGCCCCTGGGGGACCCGGAAAAGGTGGCTTCCCCCCCTTGTGCATGGGGGGTTTCTTTTTGGGGGCTTTGGCTGCAGAAGTGCCACTGTAGGCTCCGTCACTCTGGTAGTATGAACCATAGGAGCCCTGTGCTGATCCTGGTGCTGTGCTGGCTGGAGGGCCACCTGATGGGCTGCTTGATGCCCCGGCTCCTCCATTTGTACCACCATTGTTGTAGTAATCTGGGAAATAACAGTATGGCACAGTCTTAAAATGGGCAGAAGTTGATATATTTTAACAGCTACTGCTTGTATATAAGCTCTGTGCAATACATTCTTGTCGTGTACTCAGAAATTAATTCAGACCCTGGAGTAACACAGTAATGAATGGTGATGTCACATTTATTAAAAAAACAAAACATATAAAAAACAGCTAGAGCAAGAAGTCTTCCCTCCCCAACCATACATCAGATTTTCAAATTCAGCCAGTCTGTGTGTGCAAATGCAGTGCCAACAGCCTCGGTTCATCAATGCCTAATGCTGTTACAGATACTACCCAACAAAAAGTAAGACCATCATGCATTCAGTGTAGCAGTGACTTAACAGTGTTGCTGATATGACACAGAAACAGCAGATTCAACAAACAAAAGCAAAACCAGAAAATAAAAACAGCTTCATCGTGATTGGAAGTGACAGAAAGGCATTAGAATGAAATAAAACCAATGTTCTCGGTATTGTCGTCTAGGTAAACCGTATGAGACACAGAGAGACACCAGGCTGTTGCTGTCTTGACAATAATCCAGAAGGAAGAATGCTGTCCAGTTCCCACAGGCCTTCATTTAATCTTGATCTAAATGAACAGAACCAAAGCCGTGTCCCCCGGTCCGACACATGGAGGCAGTCTACAGTAAACCAGCCCTGCGGTTTGGGGAGGTCCAGGTGTTCAGGTACGTCCACAGCAAGTTGAGGGAACAGTAGGTGACTTATGGCTACATGCATGCGGTGGCGGTTCGTCTCCCCACGTGTCAGGACATAAGTGGATTGGCGAGACAGGGCGGAGGGGTTGTTGTCACGTTATTCCCAGGGTTGCGGACTTGGTGGTGAAGGGAGTTCATGATGCTGCTGGAACACTACTGAGTATTTTGTCCACTTTTATCGTCTCTACAGGACTGTTTTTGATTTTCTAAGACTGGGGAAGATCTATGTCGCAAACTCGTGGTAGCCATAGCAGTCTGAGACAAAGTCACCTAAAGAGTGAGACAGGGCAGAGAAGGGAAAAAAATATCAAAATTAGATTTGTTTATTTGGATTTTTTTTTTCTGCCGTAAAAGCGGCAGTAGAATGGACTCATTTGGTCAGATTGCGTTTAAACTCAGTTGTTGGGTTTTTTGTTTTGTTTTTTTAGATTTCTCTGCTCCTGTCACGCTCAGGTAGGTCAGTCCTCAGAACAGGCTGCCAGAGGGAAGAAAAGGGGTTCTCATAAGAGGGGGGCTTGTCAAAAACAGATTCAATCCTGTGGCTTTAAGCAGAGAAATGTAAAATCATTGAACTGGGAACACCCCAACATGTTTTATCATTATATGCTCTTGTTTGCTCTGGAGTGAAACAGTTCTCTAAAATTGGCTACATTCCCTTGTTAGTTATAACACAGGTAAGAAGTGGAAAAGGCTGGTATTTCACAGTCCTGGCCAAATGCACCATCCCGTCTGAGGACACGACATCGATGCCGACAAACTGGCTGAGACATTTGTTTGGACTTCTCACGTGGTAAATGAAAGAGTAAATATCCAGTCAAACTGGGACTATAATGGTTGAAATAAATACTCACTGTATCCGGAGTTAGCACTGTTCCCGTAACCATATGTTCCGAATCCACCTGGGAGGATTAAGGACATTTAATATGCTGACCTTGTATATTATGTTAATCATGTTAATCATGTCTACAGTATGTCTGCTACAGCAAAAGGGTGTTTTTACCTCCTTGGCCGTAGCCTCCTCCGTTATTGAAGCCCCTGCCCCTTCCACGTCCCCGTCCACCTCGTCCTCTGCCCCTGGGCGTAGCCCCGTCTCCCACTCCAGAAGCTCCCATCATGCCAAAGCCTGGAGTGTGCTAAAGAGGTAACAAGCATGTTATTTGTGCTTTTCATCAATGCTGAACAGCAACATTTTAGACACATGAATTTAAAAAAGATCTGATAAAAGTTATACAAAAAAAACTATCAACTGTGTGTCAGTTGTAGTTGACTTTGCTCCTTGCTGACTGCTGCAGAGAATCTGGTCCCACTGATTATGACACAATAAGTCATATAGCTAAAATAAAATACCCACATTTTTAAACAAAGTGTATGACTTTAAAGCAGTAAAGACATGATGAAATAAAGAACAAAAGATTTCATTGTGTTTTAGTGGGCGCTTACCATGGGTGGTCCCTTTTTCTTTTTGGCAGCCTCAGCCACAGAGCCCTCAGGGAAGAGCCGCTCCAATGCAGCCAGGGCAGCGTAAGCCTTGGCCACTTTCTTATTGGATCCTGTCCCCTGAAACTTCTGGCCATCAATCTCCACCTCCATGACGAAGCGTTTGTCGTGGCTGCCGCCGGTCTCCGAAATGAGCTCGTACTTTAGCCCACGGCGCTTCTCATTCAGCTCCATCACAGGATTCTTGCCGTGTTTAGTCAGGATTGGTCCCTGTTGGCGAGCAGTCTGAGTCAAAAGAGAGACAGTCGGTAAAATGATGTATATAATTTTTTAAAAGGTCAACTTCTTGCAGAAATTGTCAGTTGCTGACCCACAGAACAGCTTTGTACCTCTACAGCATCAGTGGTGTCTGTGTTGGCTGCTCCTGTGGCAGCAGTGGTGGATTCAATGGGTGTGACTACTGGCCTCAATTCTTCCACATTGGCAGCTACTACCGCCTCCTCTGATTTTACCGGCTCAGCAGTCTTTAGTTCCACTCCTGTGGGTAGGCCCATGTCCTGGAGGACCTGGAATTATCCAGATGCATTGTGGTTTAGAAAACACATAATGTCAAATAATTAAAAGAAAAACTCACAGTGGAGTGAAAGGCAATATAAAAATGTATTATTTACTTATAATATGTTGGCTGTGCTCACCTTTACAGCTACATGCAGCTTGGCAGTGCGCTTGGATGGACCAGAAGCCTCAAAGGTCGTGCCATCCACTTCTACAGCCATAGTGAAGACCGGAACATGAACTGGGCCAGTCTGAGATACCAGTTTGTACTGAAGACCTGGCTTTAGCTGATTGAGCCTCATCAGAGCGTTCATAGCCTGGGGAGGCTCAGCCTTCTCCTCTGGAGCTGTAACAGCATGACACACAGTCAGAGACGCATTATGCAGGGCTCCAAATATCAATTCATCTATTGATTTGTTTTCTTTAGTTGATTAATCATTTAGCCTATATTTTTTTTTTTTTTTTTAATCACAAATTGCTTGTTTTGTCCAAAAAGAAGAAGAAGAAAAAAAATTTTATGTAGTAAAGGTAGGTATTAGGCAAGTTTAAACAAATATACAAGCTAACTTACATTTCTTCTGGAGCTTTTTCTTTTTCTTATTTGGACTCTTGTCATCTGTTCCCTCCTCTTCTTCTATGGGCCTTTTCATTGGTGGGGCGTACGCCGTACTAGGTGGGATTTGCACTGCATCACAGACACAAACAACATTTTGCCTAAGAATATACAGGTACCTTATTACATTGCTTATCTATAACATATTGTAAAAAAGATCTTAACCAGCAGCCTCTACTGTGAAGACTGAATATTGAATCTCGTAGGTAAGCTAGCCTGATTTACCTGTGTAATCAATGGGAGTCTCACTACGAGGTTTCTTGGGCATTTTAGAGGGAAGGGGGTCCATTCCGAGCACTTTGTGAAGCTGTCCGAAAGCTGACAGCCTTAAGGCATGCTGAAGATACAAGAGACAATTGTCAATTTCACTTTTACTACATTGAGAATACATAAACACACATGGTTTGATCTTACTCACTTGTGCACTTGCTGTGATATCTTCTCTCTGCTGGTGGTCCAAGTGACCAATAGCATCTGTGGCCTCCTTTTCACATGGATCAGAGATACCAGCACCATCTATAACACAAGGATATTACACTTAGTTTAACTTAACTTTGGGAAACAGAGAACAAGCTGAATGCTTAAGAATCATAACATTTGGAGAAGAGAGCCCACATTCATACCTGCCATGAGGATTCCCGAAGCCAGACACTCTAAAACTCTCCGCAGAGCTTCTCCTGCCCCCATGGGCCGGTTCCCTGTGCCAATGGCTTTCTCACAGATCAGCTCCAGTGGCTGCAAAGCAGGAGAGGGAGGGAGCGTCTTTGTTTGAGGATGCTATTTTTAAGCTTGGTCACTAACACAGAGAGATTTTAGGTCACTGCTTTGGATAGTATCTCTGCTATTTAACAACCGTGATGGTGGTGCCTTTTATTGTATCCAGGCAGACAAAGCTTTATCAAAAGGATATGTGAATGTTGAAGACAGCTTAGCAGTTTTGAGCGGTCAACTTAGTCTTAATACAACTACTTCCTGCCTACACATAGACAAATGTCAGAAACCATTATGATCGCAGGTCCAGAAAACACTTTGAGGAGGCTCTCACTCACCCAGCCACGAAGCGGGGCCCACGTGGGGACGCGGGCACACAGGTCCCTTAGGATCCGGATGACGATAACACAGGAGCGCAGCCCGTTGGCTCTCGCCTGGGGACACAAGCAGGGAGGGGGGAGGGAGGGGCACGAGGAGGACAAGCAGCCTTAGTCAAAGAGGAAGACTGTGAGGCATTAAGCAACACAAACATCCAAAGAAAGGAAAAGGAAATAAAAATGAAGACACACAGACTAACAGCTTAGCTTTGTCATTATGAAAATGTATATAATAATAATAATGTTTGGTCACTTTGTTCGAAGAGTCTACTTATGATTATTCACATCCATAGTTGTAAGTCAATAGCCGACATGATTTATGGTTTAGTTATCAGACATAAAACATTTCTGTTTGTGGGGAAAAACATGCTTATGAATTAAGTTCAGAAGAAAAGTGTGAATGTCATCTCAAACTTAATACCAGCTCTTATGTGAGAACCAAGTGAACTTCTACTAAAAAAGGGAGCATTGTCATTGAATAGGGTCATGGTTAAGTAAAAAGAAAAGGCTACTCAAGGTGCAATATTCCTGTTGATTTTGTGGCACACAGAAACAGCCAGAGAGCAGGAAAAGTTTAGGCGACATACTCTACAAAAGCTGCAGAGATGGAGCACCCATTGTTAATAAAGAGTGAAAGCTGAAGATGACATAGGCCACAATACTATAATGAATCATTATTAATATGGTTCACTACAAAACACATTTTCTCTTCAAAACTACAGAATGGGGCAGCAGAAAGTGCTCTACAAGTAGCATATATGTGAAAATAAAAACAACTGACTCACACCAACACTGACATTATAGAAATATTGCACCTGGATACATGGTGTATTAGTCCCACGTTTATTTGCTGATTGAGTTAAGCGGCTGTGAGGGAGACTAATGAACTGGGTGACTAAAAAGCAGCAACTTTAAAAAAAATGGCACTGCAGTAGAACCTGTTAAGTAAGCAAAGCAAATCTACAACAGTGTAATGACAAAGGTTTCCTAAGAAACAAACATCCAGATCATCAAGTATTACTACAGGAAGTACACTTCAAAAGAGTAAATAAAGAAAAAAAGACATAGAACGCCCAAATAAAAGACAAAAGAACATACAGCATAAAACCAAACTCAAATCTACTTCTGTTTAGAGACAAATAAAGACAAGATCCAAACCTGGAACCACTTAGCGTGGCGGAGAGACGCCAAGGCAGTTAGGCATTTCTGCCTGTCCAGAACATCCGGGGGATCGTTGACTGAAAGCGATTCTATTGGCAGGTGGAATAAGAAGACAAGGTACAGTTTGACCAAGGGGAGTTCTGTCAGCCGGCCAGGGGGAACACAGGCAGCCTTCCCAAACCACAGGCAGGAGGGGGAAGGGGAGGGGGACCCCTCCACTGCAGAACCACCAAACGCTCTCAACCTCCCAGTTAATATGTTTTTGCACGGCCCGGCACACATGATTAGACTTAAACCCCACCAGAACGACAGTATTGTGAAGTGGGTTATAACTTTACTTAAAATTCATAATAAAAACATAATATGTGCATCTACGGGATAATTGGTTGTATCAAATGGGAGGTTGTCTCTACATGGTTGCTTCAGCTTAAATTGATGCTTCGGTGCTTTAAAAAAGGTCTGCTTTTCTTTTTGTGGCGTTAACAGGAGGTAGAGCCCCTCCCCTTTGCCCCTATACTGGGTACACTGCACTTTGCCCCTTCCGAGACAGAGAGCGGCCAGTTGGTCAAAGGTCCAGCGTCCCTAAAAATTGACAAACTAGAAGGCTTGACAGAGAGAATCAGAATTGGAACCACAGGCAGAAGTTATCAGATGCACAAAAAGTGGGTATCAAAACAAGTCCACACTGCAGCAAAACTGATGGCTTAAAAAGACCCAAATTGGGCATCACTGTTAGCGCAGGGCTACAGATAAGGTCAAGGTTCAACACCTGCTTTAACTCACTACTGTGGAGTGCTCTCAAAGAATGCCAACTAATGGACATCTTACTTTGTTCTTGTGTAGCTACAATTAAGCTTAATGATTAAATAACATTTCATGATACCTTCGTCGATTTCTACGCAAACAACTGAGGCCGATCACCTGGATTTTGAGTGTAGTTGCACATACATGCAGAATCCAAGTGTCCCTTGTCGTTATCTGTGACCCTGAGCCTCCCTGCTAAGGAACATCAGAGACAGTCAATAGCCCACTGTTGGGTCTAACAACCAAGGACAGTTTCACCACATGTTTTGCTACTCATTTTTGCTGCAATGCAAACCGTTCATCATCAATGATAAAACACATGCAAACAAAGTGGTCTCTCTTTTTGTATTTGGTTATATTCTCAGTAAGCCTTCATTTCGTTGGTGACCTTGATCCTTAAGGGGGAAGAGAAAGCCATGTCTTCAGCAGTCAGTAAACTACCTGCCCTATACTGTATATTGGGCCATCAAAAATGTACAATTACATTACATGGAACTACGAGAGTGTCTAGAGAGCTATAAGCATAGCGCAGTTTCATTATGTGACAGTGCATTCTTGTCCCCTAGCTCCATTGAAGGCCCAATAAACAATATCTGTCTAGCCTGGTTGCCTGCCTGGCCTCCCTGCTGGAGGAGGGGCGCCACTAAAAAGGAGGCCCTCGTGTAGGAGCTTACCTCCAGCAGCAGCCCTCTCAATCTCCTCACGAACCAAAGGGGAAGTCAGGTGTATGGTGAGGGTGAGAGGGGGCTCCTTGGTGTTCTTGATAACAATACTGGCCTCACGGATGTGCTGGGACACCACATATTTTTCTTCTGTTGCCTGAGGAGAAGCAGAGCGTTTAGGACACAACAATGAGGCCACTGCTGCTTTTGTTGAACAATGTTTGTTGAAGCCATTACCATTTTCTTCATTAAAATCGATAAATTGTTTGACCTATAACATATTGCAGTAAAAATGACAGGGTCATAAATAGTTTAGCGCTACATTCATGATGTTGACTTTTAAATTCTAAATTCAACATTTGAATCCAGTGGAGCTTTTTGCATGTCCGTTCATTCTGCAGTGCACAAGGTGTCAGGTGAGGTTACATGGCTGTCTCACCATCATATGTCTGTGTCAAGTGCTGCCAGTCCATGTGTCTGTTTGCCCAAGGGCGGGCTTGAGCCACACACACACCCGATGAAGTGCAAAATCTGGCAATGCTGCTCCACCCTGCAGGGTTTTGCAGAGGTGTGGCCGTGTTTATCTCTAGCTTTATAACTGCTCAGAAAATAACCTTTTGTTTCTCTGATCGTTAGTGGCGCTCCCTCTTGACCAGCACTGTTCCCTCTTTGAATCGTGCGTTTACAAACTGCAACTGAAAAATCCTCCTCACTATGTCTTTACTTCATGGCATACTAATCAATAACGTTACAATATATTTATTAAGTATGTTGTATATTACATTTAAATAACCATGTTCTTACCTTTAGCTGTGTAACAAGGTTTTCAGACACTTTCTTCAACAGATTGATGGTAGGCTTGTCCTTACAGAGGAGCACCAGCTCCAGGTCTAGGTCCCCCTTCAGTAGCAGGCCCTTGGCAACCAGGCCCACCCTCATTACGCCACGCAGGGATCGAGTGGCCTGATCTTTGTGCTCACTATCAGAAGACAGCAGATACAGCGGAGAGGTACAAGAAAGACAAATAATGAAAGGTGGTTAGAGAAGAGGAATTAAACCTTTTCTTAGAAACTAACTCATTTTCTACCAGCTTGAACATGAGGAATAACATCCCTGATATGTCCTCACCTTTCCTTATCGGTGTCTGCGCTATCGGAGTCTGACTTCGAAGTCCCCTTCTCTTGCTTATCCAGCCAGTCAGAGACGGCCTTGAGGGCCCGCTCTGTGTGGGATACCATGTTCTGTACGCTTTCCAGTTCCTCCTGCGTCGGGTAGATGACAGAGTGTTTGGCCATGACATGGCGGTCATCATTCATGAAGACACGCATGGAGCGGTGCCGCATGGGGGGAGGCTAGGGAGGAAAAGACACCAGATTGTTGATTTAAAAAAGAAATACCAGGGAGGTACATGGTAACTAATTTATTGTTCATAAGAACAAATGTATAACAAAGCATACCATAAATTGTGACATTATAGCCTTAGTGAATGACAGCAACAGCGGGGATGTTATTATCTCAGTTATGGTGCACAGCAAAACCTGACATCCACTTTATTTAAAATATATTTTTAGGGGCTTTTATTGCTTTTAATTGACCCATAACGGCTACAGAATGACAGGAAAGGGGGAGAGAGGACTGACATGCAGCAAAGAGCCACAGGTCAGACTCAAACCCTGTAGCAAGGATTCAGTGTTGGTACATGGGGCGCCAGGTCTACCAGGTGAATTGGGCCGAGAGAATTAAAAGCGATCATTACTATTAATACAACAGAAGGCTGTCTCGCGAATCAGGATTACTGAGTTACCTTGATAACTGCACAGAATAAAACCCAGAGCAGCTCCTTCAACTTCAGTACATGTTACAGATTTAAAAACAACCCAGGCTTTACTCAGACCAATTCAGCTAACTTAATTAATCCTGCTTTATGGGACAGGCCCTTGGAAAAAGCATTTATCAAGATTAAAAGACCTCTTTTCTCCGTCACTCATTTATCTTTGATTAATTAAAAAACTGAACAGCGCGGTCTCATGTCGAGGGACAAGCTTCTAACACCAGTGATTACGCAAGCTGAGTGTATGCACAGGCAGCCAAAGCCAATTTAGAGGCGAGTGATGATGTGGAAGCTGCAGCATGTGTTCCTAAAGCCCCAGGCAGACTGGGGCAACAAAACACTGGCACCAGTCCTGTGACTTAAATTAGATGTGACACATTTATTTGTCCCGTTAACACTGACATTTAACAAGAAGGCCAGTGTGCCCTGTGCTTTGGCCGCCTGCCTGTTGTCAGACATTAACAGATACAGAGATACATAACGTCAAATAAAATAAAGATTGAACTCAAAGCATTACCATTATTCTTGAGGCCGTGGTGACTTCTTATATCCAGTAAACAGCAGTGTTAAAAAAGGGCTTCTCTGCAACAGATGACAATGTTGCAGTCCTGCTCTATAAAGGAGAGAGAAACACGCACACATGTTCACAATACAGTAACAGTAAGGAAGAATTCAAACGTCACTACAGGCAAATACGGAGCCACATGAAAAGGCAGCTACATTCACAAAGGATGGATAGAAGTCAAGTCTGTTGATAAAAAATATATGTTTATATAAACATATTCCTTAGGCCAATAACATTGAACAGGGTGAAACACTTCACACTGGGTTGCTGGTGCCTCTCTGTTTATGTCAGTGAAAATAAGTGGTCACCAGCTGCAGGAAGCAAAGAAGGACTGTTGGCACAGCAACAGATGCCTCCGGGACTGAACGCAGACATGTTGCTCATAACATATCAGACTGTAAGCACAATGGCCACGATGTGTGCAAGTCGCATTCGTGTTTCTAGAAAACAAAAGCATGATGTTCCTTTTTATTTTTTAAACAGACATAGCAAAACAGAAAAGTAAGGGCAGTGTTGCTACAAAGCATTGATCTCTCAGCAGAGGTCAGCCCAAGTTCCTTCACGGATGACTGACTGTTCATCTGTGATGTGTCAAATGATGCGAGTGTGACAGCAACTGCGAAATGATGCGTTTATGGCGACATAGTGAGGATGAGTGGGCCAGTCATTTATGGCGACACGCCCACAGCTCTCGGATGCTCTAATGCAAACCTTCACATGGAAGATATAGCTTCCAGTTGCAGTAAAGGCAACTAAAACAAGGGTGAAACAAACCGAGCATACGCGCAGTCTCCATTATCACAGTCAACAGGTCACTAAAGTGTGGCATCAAAGACCAACAAAATACTGTTACAGCTATTAAATCTTTGTTTTAGCAGGAATGGTGCGTTACGAAGAAACAGTAGTGGGACCCAAACCCTACAGCACCATCAGGGGAATTTAAAAACAGACGCCATTTTACTTCAGCGCAGAGGCTGACTGGTGGACGGGAGCTAGCTAACAACCCCCACAAACAACCACGGATCAGCCATCGTTCAACGCCGCAGCGAGCCAGCCTGCTCACCGACCCACAACACACACAGACACCGTGTTGGTCAACTCAGCAACTGAAACAGACGCGTGAACAGCTGACGGATTGTGTTTGAATCTGGATATCGGTCTGCTGCCTATCAGACACCAAAATGGTCGAGGAGAGGAGACGAGAGGAGACCCCATTGAACGCTCAGCCACAGTTAGCAGGGCTAGCTTAGCCGAACAAAGCCAAGTGGCTCTATTTATGAAGTACATCAAACAAACACTCTTAGAAAACACGTAACAAGCCTCGTTACTTGTCTTGACGTTTATCGGTCGACTAATACTAACGACGTTGACGTTGAGGGCTGAAATGAGACGTTTTCTCTTTACTCACCGTGCTGTCGTTACTGCTAATGGACGCTGCTGCACGCTAGCTCCCGGTCTCGGCAGCCGGAGTGCAACTGGCCACGCCCACGATATGAAAAACGACTGTGCCCATTGGACAGAAGTTACACGTGACTACGATTGTAGCCAATCGGGGAAGAGTGGTACCTAACCACGGGGCGTGGCTTCCAATTGTTTCTTTGAATTGCTCAACAGCTGGCTGATTGATTGAATGTGCTTTGATCGTATCGATTAAAACATGATCATGATACAGGTGTAACCGTTATACCTCACCGGGATATTCTTATTTCTTACACGTGTGGAAATTCTCCAAGAATATTGATTCTGAACATTTGAACCACAGAGGAGTGACCATTACTGGCAGCATAGCAGCAGTGGAGTGTGTTGTTTCTTGTGTGTCTTCAGAGAGAGAAAGGACTCACATTTCCATCCTGAGTCATATCATGAAGGCACGTCACATCTTTTGTTTTAAGGGAGCTGAAAATACTCAAATCTGCATCACAAGATGATGTGTTTTTGGACAGAATAAAACAATATATGGCTTCTTAGTTTGTGAGCTTTAGGTGGAGGAGGTTGGATTTTGTTACCTTCGTGGCAGAGCCAGGTTGTTTCCCCTGTTTCCATTTGTACTGAGCTAAGCAACAGACTACACAGAGTGCCTAGAGGGGTGGGTACAGCTGCTACCCCTAACAAGTTGCCACCCCAGTTTGGTGTCAAATGCTGTCAAATTTAACACAAATTTCTGTTATGACGACATCTTAGACTAAGCGACAGGCTTAAGTTAAATGAAAAAAACGTGGATTTGGAAAAATGTCTGAAGATTTGGAAATAAAACAGTTAATTGATTTCTAACCTTTAGATATTTCTATTTAATGCTTCACTAATGTGCCATAATAATGTTTTTGAGTTCAAATATCTTCATTTGGGGGCTTTTCCAAGCAAATATTGATGTATATGATTGTTTGCAATTAAATTAGCAGATATTTCTGCCACACCTTAAAGTCAGCCTCTTGCCCACCCCATGACTATTTCTGTAGATCTGCCCCTGTTGCCCTACTCACTCGGAAAATAATTTGAAACAAGTGAAAATATGAATATACAATTATGAACCAGAAAGAAACATGAACATATAACCATTTATGTAATCTTACATTCCCTTTTCTTAATAATATTCACTTCAGTCCCCGACACTCGGGGAAAATACTGTAGATACATTCACAAACGCACAATAAAGACACACTTTCACATTCATGTCACAGCACTACATTGGACACACAGAGTGTTTTTCACATCTTCAAGCTGAGGTAAAAGCACAGCCTTTTCTTTTGCTCTCTTATATGAGCACTTACACAAGTCATTGACTTTTACATTATGTCAGAGAACACAACAACACTTTTACAGAAAAAAACTTTTGAGTTGAGATGTTTGCTTTAAGACTAGATACAGTCTTCACTTCAACAAAAAGTTAGCACATTATACTCCAACTGACAAAATCTTTTTTATTTACATCTGTTCTCATAGAGGACAGACCGCCATGCAAACACATTGGGCTGTGTTGCATTCTGATAAACATTATTTGCTGTTTATAATGTGTTCATACATACAACAACTCAATATGTTATCATTAGCTGATCACTGAGCTTTCGAATCTGGAACATGTTTCCACTTTTTAACTTTAGATCCTACCATATAATCCTTCATAGACATAAACCAGGTTCTCATTCCCACTAGCCAAGAACAAGAACTACTTTTTTTGGGACCTTTTAACACTGAATTTGGATCCAGATGATAGACTGCTGGGCTCAGCGGTGATCCTGCTGGCAGGTGACAGTAGAAAATTATAGCTTACACATCTTTCTTCTTCCTCTAAGAGTCCATTTAAATCTTATTAATACAGTTTTTCTCTGAGTTCTGAAAGGAATTGACATCCCAGCGAACAGAGCGGAAGATGGTTCCCTTTAAGCTGGCCTGCCTTTTAGTGATGCGATAGATCTTCCTGAGGATGGCGCGTCGCAGCAGGATGTAGACCCACGGGTCCAGGATCTGGTTAAAGGTTGCCATCCTGACACCCGTCACCATCAGGCCCTTGTAAGTGTTGATGTCACTGCTCATGGAGTCACTGTAGGACCGTATGGCTGATATCAGTCCAAAGACCTGAAAAAAGGGAAGAAAAGAAGTTTAGGCTCAAAATTTAGAATCTAATAAAATAATAAAATAATGTAAATAAGTAAACTGTAATGTTAATATTTAATGTAATAAAAAGACACTTGTGTTTTGGTTGTGCTAATACTTTATTGCAAATAATCCACAACTAACATGTTATAACTGCATCACCCTGAAGTATCTGTGGTGCTTTATGACAAATCTCAAAATATATAATAAAATAATGGATTTTATTATGTGAATAATCTAGGAACCTCCTTTGTGTGCAAAAAAGATTGCTTATGTGTGTCAAACACAATATGCAGTTGCTGATCTGCTGATGGGTTAGTCATTACAAAATCATGCTGTGCAGTCTAACTTTGTTCAAACCCACAGAACTTTATTGCAAACTCTAAAGTTTCCAAATATACTAAATTCACCAGTCTGAAATTTGGGGAAATGTATATAAAATTAACAACATATGTAGAATTAGCTAGAATGGTGCAGCCATAAAAATAATGCAGTCATATAGCTCCAATAAAGAACTGAAACAAGAAGATACCGAACATAGAAATATGAGACAGTGTGGAATAAGAGGATATTTCTGACGTTAAAGATACTTAAATTTAAAAAGGAAAACTGCATGTTATGTGGTTTGAAAATATTGTTTAGTAGTATTGAAGAACAATTCTGAGAAATGTTAAGTAACAGTGGTGCCTTTGAAGGCAGTTGGAATTATTGAGAAATTCAAAAGTTCCTGTTTCCTGCGGTTTTGAACAACTTAACATGATGCAAAAAATAAGAGTCATTCTTAGTTTTTGCAGTCAGACTGACACAACAAGATTATTTGAGACCTTCATAGTTTTCATGTTTAAAATGTCTGATAATCAGTTTGTCCCATTACATCTGTAAAAACAAATATCAAATATGCCCTTTTGAAATGTGACTATGGTAAATAATTTCCTCGACACTCACCAGCAGAGGGCTCCAGCAGATGCAGGAGGTGACCATAATGCCAACCAGCTGGACCACCATCTCAGTGTCATGGGACCTGGCTGAGCGGCGCTGGGTGCAGGACCTTTTCATTACGCGGGCTCTCACTAGCGTGATCCCACTGATGGTGTTGCACACAAAGGCCAGGGCCAGAGAGCTCAAAGCCAGTCCAGAAAACAGCATCACAAAAACCAGATCTGTCACTCCAGTGTTCTCCATCACCCTGATGAAGCACCACGTCCCCGGGTACTGGGAAGTATAGGTACCCAGGCTGAAGAAGGGTAGAAGGGCCACAAATAAAGCCAGTAGCCAGATCAGGGTCAGTGCCATCTTTGTCCGTGCTGTGGTCACCAGACGAGCGTGCAGCAAAGGGTTGGTGACACCCAGACAGCGCTCAGCAGCCATGGCACAGCCCAGGAACAGAGGGCACAGGCCAAAGAACACCATGCAACCTCCCAGAAACAGACAACGGGTATCCGGATTCTGAGAATTATCTGGAGAATCAGCTGAATATCTCCCCAGTACGAAGGCTCCAGCAATAACATGTCCTGCCAGATCTGTTGCCACCAGAGAGCTGGCAAAGAGGAGGAAAGTGGCCTTTGACCGCCGACGGAAGCGGTTGTAAGCCTTGGCGAGAATGATGAGAGCCACCACGTTGAACAGGATGCCCAGACTCATGGAGAGGATGGCACTGGTGGGGGTGTTACGAGTGGCATTATTATATACTCGGGAATCAACCCAAGGCTGCCCCATGGTGGTGTTGTTAGAGGGGGAAAAGGGGGTGATAATGCCTGAGGAGTTGTACTGCTGCATCGCCAGCATCACCGCTGGGCTCTGGGCCTGATGTGGTTTCTCTGGTTGAGAAGATACTGAAAAGGAAAAAAAAGACTGGATCAGCATGCTGACTGATACAGGGTTGTGTGAAAGGGGTGAGGAGGGGGCTTGACTCTTATGTTTCACTTTTTAAGAAAGCAAGAGCCTCCACAGCATCCTTAATATCTTCTTTGGATCTTCTTTGATTAAAATTAACTGCAGTACTGAACTGTTCCCCAATTTAAACCTTCTCTGGAACAATATTAAAACCACAAATACACTTTATAGAGAGCCTCTCTCTATCATTACTGCCACTGAGTGACCTGAGCACAGATGGTTGCGTTAAAGACACAGATTCAACATTTAAAAATAAAAATGAGACCAGATAATGTCATATAGTTGGTTGTATACCTGTATATTGTCTGTCATTTAACCAACAAAATAACCTTCATGGGGCCATTTATGTAACTATAAGCGATATCAAGGAAAGTCTAATATAAAATACAGATGGGGGGTGAAAAATTAAAAGAAGCCCAAGACTCACCCCCTTTCGTCTTGTCCGCTCTTTCAGAAAAGTTAAACTACCCCACCTTCAGTCAAAAGAAACTTGTATTACCCTCCTGTTTTTATGCTCCCACTCTCCCTCCTAATAATTACAGTCCCTCAAATATTCAAATATTATATCAATATTATATCATATTGGGGGATAATTTCAAAGTATTTAATCACTGACTCAACTTTAAAACAAAGTTAGCCCATTTTTTCCCTCACTTCTGTCTTCACAAGAGCAAACACGGGAAGTCTGAACAAGTTCTGACAGTTTCTGTTGACACTGAACGCTGCTGCACACATTCCTCTAAAAGTACGGTTACCATGTAGCAGCAGTAATCACTTGTCAACAAGTCATACATACAATAATCTGAGGCATTGGGGAAAATTGTACATTTATTAACATACAAACGATCAATGCTGTTTGTGTTAGATCAGATATACTTGAAGAAGGAAGGCACAGTGATGGGTGAAACATATTGCTTAATATATATTATGTAACTGCCTTTCAAACTGAAGTGTATTTTTGTGTGTTTAATGTTTTTCTATTCTTTGTACGTATAGATTTCATTTATATTT